ATCTCAACAGTAGGCCCACACTAGGTGATCATTATTTACCCCAGAAACAGAGTGATCGTGAATTACCCCGGGTCACCCTAATGTATGTAATAAAAGTTTTTCACACAAACGCTCTCTGACTAGGCATAGCCATGTTCATACTGTAGAGAAATCTAATTCTTAAAGTACATGTAATATAAGTTTCTCTCATCATAGTTGGCTAAGCGCAAACATTTTCATACAGGTGAAAAACCGCTTTTTTGTAGCTTATGTAATAAATTAGTTTCACAGAACTGCCATCTGACTGAGCAAATATTTATGTAAGTTTGCCAACCTGTTTTTTTTCCCTGTTATTACTACCACTGTTATTATAATTTTACACCTATTTTTTTTCTCAAATTATTGTACCATTTTACCCTATTAATATTGTTTTTTTTATAAAACTTTTTTTACCAAATAATTTTAAGTACATTTTTGAAATTTTCCTAATGTGCTATTGTATTAAATTAAAAAAAGATATTTTAACATAACATATTCTTTGAATTTGTGTGTGTGCTTTTTTTTATGGTTCTTGTAATAAATGTAATAGTTTTTTCATAGTTGTTTAGTTGTATAGGCAAACAAAAAGTAAGTTTTTGTGTCTTTGTTGATTAAACTTGTCTACTTACTTAAAAAATCAAGTTCAAGCAGGCAAATTTGGAGAATATTTCGTGACTGCTCGAATCATTGAAATTTCTCTAAAGTAACATATTTTGCGTAATGCATATTTCTTTAAAAGTTGGCACATTTATCAAATTTAAACAACAACAAAGTGTTACTGGTTAGTTGGTTTTAGGCATAAGTTGGCTAAAGAATGGTAGATTGTTTTGGAAGTAGATGGACTTAAAGTATACGAACAGTCCTAGATATCCAATAAATTTTCGACAAAAGTAGTAAATATTAGATGATGCGTATTTAGAAAAATTCAAATGATTTGAGTGACCTCTAAATATTCTTCAATTTTACTGAAACTTTTTGGACTTGATTTTTTAGGTAAGTAGATACGAAAAATAAAAATTTAAAAAAAAAATCAAACATAATTTAGATTTGTCAAGGTTTCACAATGTGCCCTAAATACATTACAGAATCCGTCATCTCCCACAAATTTCTAACTAATAAATCAATAAAAAATGTGTGCCCTCTCAAAAACTTCTTTCACACTACGGCTTGCTCAGGAGAACATTTATGATCCAAAAAAATAAATGAATACATTACAGTTATGTTAGCAATAAAAACTTTCAGTGTTTTTCTGCTTTTAAATGTTATCTTGTGAAATTTTTGGTAATTTGTTAAATATATCTTTGAGAATTATATGAAAGAGAGAGAATTACACTTTAATTTGAAAATATTACCTTTGAATAAAGTAGGGTTTGTAACCACATTTACACCAGGCTATAGGACGAAATTAGGACATTTTGCTCCAGAGGCTAGTTGTAACATTTTTAACTAAAGCCATTTTTTTTTTCAAGTTTAAAAAGATTTTAAAAAAAACTTAA